TGCATGAGGCCCTGGGTTCGATTCCTCAGCACCACATAAGCAAAAAGAAAAAAGCCGGAAGTGGCGCTGTGGCTCAAGTGGTAGAGTGCTAGCCTTGAGCTGAAGAGCTGAGGGACAGTGCCCAGGCCCAGAGTTCAGGCCCCACGACCAGACCCAAAAATAAATAAATAAATAAAATAAAATATTATGTCTATGTTATCAAATATTTTCAATTATATAATTCTAAGCATCTTGCCCAGAAAGAACTTAAAAAATTGTTGAGTTATAGTCTTGCCTTCTAAATCAATATCTTTTTACTTCGATTATGTCTAGATTCTGACTAATTCAACCATTTTAAAGTGTATGTGTTGTTGGTGCACTTAATTTTAGAATGAGTAATACTATTCAAGGCTAAAATGGAAAAATCAGTCCAAAAATTCATACAGAAGCATGTCAGTCCCCAAGTAGCAAGAGCAATTTTTTTTTGGGGGGGGAGAGCAATATTGGAGTATCATAATACCAGACTCCAAATTATATTACAGAACCATAGTAACAAAAAGTAACAGACCTTAAGACCAATGGACTAGAAGACCTAGGAACAAAACACACACAACTAGAGCTATCTATTTTTAACAAAAGAGCCAAAAACTACACAAAAAAATTAGTTATCCACTTACAGGAGACTGAAAGTGGACTCATTGCCTTGGAGAAAACTCAACTCCAAACAGATCAATGAGCTCAAAGTAAGACTTAAAACTTTAAATCTAGTATAGGAAAACACATAGAAAAACCTGGAATTTATAGGCCCAAGTAATTTATTTGAATAGGACTCTAACTGCCCAGAAAACAAGAGCAAGAATTAACAAATGGAATTGAATAAAATTATAATTTTCTTGGAAAAACTTGGAAAAAATTATATTAAGTGAAGTAAGCCAGGCCCAAAGAAACGTAGGTCCCATGGTTTCCCTTATTTGTAATATCTAGTATATGTATGAGTCAAGCGGAAAAGGTCAGATAATGTGATGTCAGGAAAATGAACCCTTAGATGTGTATTTTAATGTTTTTTTCTTTCATGCATGTGTTTCTAACACATTTATAAGATTATCTCTTTGTTGCTTTGTATGTCCCTCCCCCACAGTATAACCCTTGCTTTCACTATATTTGATGTCAGTATAACTTGTGGAGGAGATGGGGAAAAACCAGTTGTTTAAGGATACAGGTGGACCTGTTGCAACAATGAGAAGTACAAGTTGTCATGTCCAAAACGAACTTTACAACGTTGGTGCGGGGGGGGGGGGGGGGGGGAGGGGGGGGGGCTGGGGGGGGAGGAAGGAGAAGGATTGGGATTAGGGGGGGAGGGGGGAGGCTGGGAAGGGATGTGAAGGGTAAACAAAGGAGGAGGCTGCAATGCTTGGTAAGAAGTGCACACATTATCCTGCCCATGTAACTGTAACTCCTCTGTACAGTATGTTCACAAATAAAATTAAATTAAATTAAAAAAAAATTATAATTTTCTGCCCAGCAAAAGAAACAATTAGCAGAACAAAGAGGAGATCCATGAAGAGAGAGAAAAAAATTTTGAGCTATTGAACAGAAAAAGGATTGATACTCAGAATAAACAAAGAGGTAAAAAAAAAAAATTAAACATGAAAAGAAATAATCTAATTAATTAGTGAACAAGTGAATTGACAGTTCTCAGAAGAAGAAATACAAATTGCTAATAAGTACGTGAAGAAGTGTTCAACACCCTTGTCCATAAAGGAAATGCAAGTCAAAACCACACTCAGATTCCATCTCATCCCACTCAGAATGGCAATCATCAAGAAAACAAACAACAAATGCTGGCAAGGATTGGGGAAAGGAACCCTTCTTATATACTGCTAGTGCAAGCCACTATGGAAATTAGGGTGGAGGTTGCTAAAAAATCTGAAATTTCATCTACCACGCCATACCACTATTGAGCATTATCAAAAGAAGCATAATAAATCATATGTCTGTGTTTATTGCAGCACTGTTCAGACTAGCTAACCTGTGGAATCAAGCAAAACACCCAACACAAATGAATGGATGAGGAAGGATGGTATATATATACCATGGAATTTACACAATCACAAAGAAAAATGATATCATGGCATTTGAAGAAAAATGGAACTGAAGGACATGTTGAGCAAGACAAGCCTGAAAGTCAAATATATGTTTCTGTTCATATATGGGAAGTAGTCCTAAAAGACATATTCATGCACATGAATATACATACATGTATATAAATGTTCATATACACACTAAAATAATTTCAAGGTTAAAAACCGGCGCTGTGTTAAATGTTAGAAGAAAGCCACATTTATAATGTGAAGTACATCACACATAAGCCCAAGAACAAAATGAGCACACCAACAACCAAACAGAGCTCAAAAAATACAGAAGTAGCAAAGACAGCCAATTAACTATCAAAGTCTTATATACAAGTTTTGTTTTAAATATTTGTAGTAGTAGGTTGGAGGAAATAAATCTACTGAATTTATAAGATTGCAGAGCACCATTAGATTTGGAAGTATCAAAACTAAGTTGGCATCCTCAACCTTGGTTGAATACTACTCAAGTGTGGTTAGAAAATAAAGGGCTCCATCCATCCCCAAAGACTCTGGCGTAACTCCCTTGAGTGAGACACAGACAGTACTATTTATTAAAAGCATCATTCTGTTGTGAACCCAAGGCTGAGACCCACTATAAAGACCAATGGGGATCAGATGAAAAGACCTAAGGAAGCAATGTAGTAGTGTGAAGATCTTTCCTGAAATGACCTCATTTATGCCAAAAGAAAAAGTACTAGTGACTAAACTGATTAATTTTAAATAGCCCTAAGATATAAACCAATTCAACTTCCCTTAAGAAGAGTGCTATGAAAAAAACCAATAATGAATTTTAAAATACAAGAAATATTACAATTTCAATCCAGAAAGATGTCTTTCTGCTATAAGGAGAGACAAATGGAGTTCATCTACCAAAGGCCAGTCTTCCCACCCCTATCTGGGATATCTTTTGCTTCTGAATCTCATCCTACATCAACTATTGTTTGTTTTTTCTATCTCCTCTCTCTCTTGGACCCATTCCACTAACACAAATATTTCAGTCTCTCCCTTTGTTTGTCAGTTGTGGGGGCTTGAACTCTGGGCCTGGGCACTGTCCCTCAGCTCTTCAGCTCAAGGCAAGCACTCTACCACCTGAGTCACAGCGCCACTTCCAGTTTTCTGGTGGTTTATTGGAGATAAGAGTCTCATGGACTTTCATGCCCGGGCTGGCTTTGGACCGTGATCCTCAGATCTCAGCCTCCTGAGTAGCTAAATGGCGTGATCCACCAGCACCTTGCTCTCCTTCTTAAGACACACATCCCTGGTCTCCTATTTTCAACTGACCCACAATTCTATTATATTTTCTTAATGTTATTATTTAAGTATACAAAGAGCATTCCCACAATCATACTCTCCTTATGTCTCTCAGGTCAGTTACACCATCAGTGTAGCTACTGACTCAGAATACTGGGAGTATCTCCTTACAACACGTTTTGCCAAATGACACCATGATACTGCTGTTGAAAAATCTCTCTCCACTCCAGTCAAGCATTTCCCCATGACGGACAAAAAAAACAAAAACAAAAAACAATCAGGGAAGCCAGCACAGATGGCTCAAGCTTGTAATCTTCGCTACTCAGGAGGTTAAGATATAAAAACCTAAGTTTGAAGCTAGTCCCAGGCAAGAAAGTCCATGGAACTTATCCTCAATTAATTAACAAAAAGCCAGAATCAGAGATGTGGCTCAATTCACCCACTCTGAGCAAAAGTACTAAGGGACAGCATACACAGGTCTTGTGTTCTTCTAACCCCAGGACTACACAGAAAATTAGAATTAAGAATGAGTTCATCCTATCTTCATTTAATGGAGCAAGCATTATGCCCCTTTCTCACAAACACACACAAAACCAAATAACAAAACATCTGGCACTGGTGGCTGATGCCTGTAATCATAGCTACTCAGAAATCTGAGGATGAAGGTTCCAAGCCAACCCTTACCATAAAGTCCCTAAGACTCCTATCTCTGATTAACTTCCAAATAGCCAGAGTGGGGCTGTAGCTCAAGTGACGAGTGCTAGCCATGAGCACAGAAGCTCAGGAACAGCAGCCTGACCCTGATTTCAAGTCCCAGGATGAGGGAAAAGGATGGGGGAGTGGGGGGCAGGAGGAGTGCAAGGGCACATGCACACACACAGATAAAATAATTTGTTAAATATTAAATAATAATAGAAACAAGCATGCATATATAACTGAACATTTTTGCTTTTGCCTTTGCTGATTAGTAGGTCCCATTTATTTTTAAACACTTTTGTTCATTTGCCCCCCCCCAATTACTTAGCTAGTCATATAGAGTTACAATGTTAATATAAAAAAGGTTATGTTCTCAAATTGGTAGACACTAATGTATACCCAATTTTATAACATTATGTGTTGAGTGTTACAATGAGCATAGATTCAAGCTCAGAGCATCTAATCCTGTGCAGATCAAAGGGGAGGAAGGGAGGAAAGAAAGGAGGGAAGGAAAGGGAAGGAGAAAGGGGGAGGAAGATGTAGTGCTGGGAAAAGATGAAAGATACATGGAAACTGGTATTCCACTGCAAGGAACTGATAGAGTGATTGGGCAGTATGTGTATATACAAGCTTAAGAGTCAGGTAGGCATGGTGAAACAGACTTGAAACTCTAGCACTAGGGAGACTGGAGGCAAAGAGGATTATGAGTTTGAGGCTAACAGGGGATATAGCAAGACTCATTAAAAAAAAACAAAAAAAAACACCTCACAAAAATAAGTTTAAGAGTATAATCACTGGACTGGAGACTGAATGCTAAAAGAACTTGCCAAACATTCCTGAGTCCCTGAATTGGATTCTCAGTACTGAAAGAAAACGGGGGGGGGGGGGGGGGGGGGGGGGGGGGGGGATTAAGAGTGACCAATAATGTAGATACCACAAGAATGAATATCCATTTAGCTTTTAATATGTTACTTTTTATTTTACAATATATTTCAAAAAATGCCATTATAGTTGCCTTAACTGCTCTATAAGACCTGGAAAAAAAAAACACTTAGAATCAGAACACATAAACATCAAGCTGAAATGCCTACTTGTACTTAACCATTACTACCAAAAGGTTATAGTTTGTTTTTTTTTTAAATAAGCAGATGTGTGGCAAGATAAAATAAAAACTTGTTAAAACAGAAAGTAAACGTCACTTTAATGGTTATAGAAAGGAGGTGGTTTTGTTTTGTTTTTCCAATACATCTGGTCTGGCAGCAAGTAGTACTATGCATTTAAAGCAATATGTGCCCTGAAAGCTTATATTTCGTTTGTGCGTATCACTTGAATTAGAGACCAGACACATGAAAAAAATATTGTTCTTGAGACCCTCAATACCTCTCCCTTCAGAAGATCAAACATTAGTGAAATCAAGATTCTTATTGATGATAATATTTTACAATTACTTTTCTCCAGTAACACTGGATGCTTTAAATTTTCTCTAAAAGAGAAGCAAAGAAACCCTCCAGGGTCCAATTTTCACTTCACATTTCCAAGTAGTAAAATAGCAGCTGTACATGGTGATGAAAATGAGTTTCAATTTTTCCCTATTAGTTTTTAAAATTAAAACATATCTGGATTTAGCCAAGTTTCCAAAAAAAAAAATCTTAGCTGTCAAATATTTTATAACTTGTAACAAAGCATTACTTACATGTGATTTGCTCTGACTTATCAGGAAAAAATACCCCACGTGTGTGTGTGTGTGTGTGTGTGTGTGTGTGTGTGTGTGTGTGTGTGTGTGTGTGTGTGTGTGTGTCTGTGTGTGTCTGTGTCTGTGTGTGTACATACATACATAGCGAGAAAGTTGTTTCTTACCTTCACTGAAGTAGTTTTCTGATTTAGACATGAGAAACAAGATTAAATGACCAATGCTGATTTCCTTATAAGCAATAATTTGGATCTTTTTTTTTCATTCAGTACAACTGCAGTATTTTCATAATAAATCACAAAAGGCAATGTAGAGAAACACTTATTGAACTGGCTGTTGCCAGGTAATTTGTATTTTATAGTCAGACTCTACCAAGAGTGGCACTATGGCTTTATAGGCATTTTTGTTTTCTTTTTTCAAGTCTGTCAGTTCTTTGCTTCTATTATTTTCTTCTAGCAGGACCTAGTATGTAATCACAAAGGTCAAGAGAGCACTTACAATAACATGGTGGACTTCACACTCAAGAGCTGATATAGACCAAGGTGAACAGGAGTCAACTAGAACCAATTTGGTCACATTCAAACAGTTCCAAAAGCACTTTGCTACTACACGTTTCCTCCATCTTAACTGTTTCTTTGTTAACCTTATTAAAATTAGAATAAATAAGATTGCAAAGATTTTTTTTGTAGAGTTGTTTTTTAAGGGACTGTTAAGATCAAACATATTTCAATTTGCAAAATGTCATTAGTAATGTCCTTTCTATAAACATGGTTGGCAAAATAAAAAAGGCACAGATGGATAGGTATTGGGGAAAGGAAGGGCAAGAAATGCTTTCAACTTTCAGTGAAGAATACCAAAGCATGTACCATTCATGAAGAAAAACAGAGAAAAATGTTCAGTAATTCATGCACAACTTGAGCTCTGATAAAACTTCTCTTCAGAAAGATCCTGAGGCTTGAGGAGAAAATGAGTCTTCCTAATTACGTGCTTCATGTAAAATAAAATATAAAGCTGCACATACAGGTTTGGTATTAACAGTGGACCCATGTTTTTCATTTATAAACGTGAGGCAATTAAACAAAGGAAGACAAAACCAAAATACCTTCATAAACATATTTCACCTGCAGCCTCCGACTTTTTCTTTTTACCACTCAGTGGGATAAAATGTAAAATGCAGCATACGCAATTTTGTAATCTAAAAACTTTTCATGATAACTTATTGCAAATTGCACTTGACAGTTCACCACAACAATGGAAAACTGGACCCTTGTTGGTTCAGATAGTCCTTGAGCCCAAAACTGAAGTTGAAGTCACCAGTAAAATGATCTGGATAAAAAGTTTGCTGCTGTGCTTAACCAGCTAGCTCCACCTTCTGGGTGTGAGCCAACTCGGGATACTGCTTTGTCCTGCTCCTTTGTGGGACTCTCATCCTCAGGCAGGTAGTCCGGCAGCTCTGTATTCTCTTCTACTTCCACAGGAGTATCTTGGAATGGGACTAGCATCTGATGTAGAGATGTTAGGAGCTATTATGAAATCAACTTAATGTGATACACACACACACACACACATCATAAATTAAAGGTCAGTTTTACTCCACATTCTAATTGCCATCTTTATTCCCAAATGCTTTGTGCTTTTTAATTTTTTTTTTTTTTGCCAGTCGTTGGCCACGCTCCCTGAGCTCTTTTTTGCTCAAAGCTAGTGCTCTATCACTTGAGCCATAGCACTTTTTCTGTGATTAACTAGAGATTAAAAGGGTTTTTTTTGTTTTTGTTTTTGTTTTTTTGTCGGTTGTGGGGCTTGAACTCTGGGTCTGGGTGCTGTCCCTCAGCTCTTCAGGTAAAAGCTAGTAGTGCTCTACCACTTGAACCACAGTGCCACTTCCAGCTTTCTGGTGTTTTATTGGAGATAAGGGTCTCATGAACTTTCCTCCTCAGGCTGGCTCTGAACCATGATCCTCAGATCTCAGGCTCCTGAGTAGCTAGGATTGCAAGTGTGAGCCACCAGCGCCAGGCCTGAGATAAGAGTTTTGGGACTTTCTTGCCCAGGCTGGCTTCAAACTTCAGTCATCAGATCTCAACCTCCTGAGTGGCTGGGATTACAGCTATGAGCCACCAGTGCCCAGCTTTTCCCTTTTTTTATTAGCACGCATTATTTGAACAAAGGGGTATTGCTGTAATATTTCAACATGTGTATATAATGTATTTTGATCAAACTGACCTCCTCTATTACTCATTCTTATTCCTCCTCCCTTGTAAATAATTTTAACAGGTTCCACTGTTCTATTTTTTCTTTTGGGTCCGGTCGTGGGGCCTGAACTCTGGGCCTGGGCGCTGTCCCTCAGCTCTTCAGCTCAAGGCTAGCACTGTACCACTTGAGCCACAGCGCCACTTCCAGCTTTTTTCTTTTTGCTTATGTGGTGCTGAGGAATCGAACCCAGGGCCTTATGCATGCAAGGCAAGCGCTCTACCACTGAGCCACCTTCCCAGCCCCATCCACTGTTCTATTTTCATACATGCATATAAAGCACTTTTTGCTCATATTTACCTTGCCTTCTATGTAAACACAGAAAAGAAGAACTACAAGTAAGGGTACAAATGCCATTCTACTGAGATTCTAGTTGCAAATCAGCAACCTTTGTAAAGACAACTAAAACAATACCACTTTGTGTCCTGGAGACCCATGAACTTCCTATTTTGGGAGCAATGAGCTTAAGACAGATCTTTTTCCCTGTAAAAATGCATTTAAAGAGTAGCAATAATATGCCTGTAATCCTAGCTACTAAGGAGGCTGAGTTCTGAGAATCACGGTTCAAAGCCAGCCTGGGCAGGAAAATCTGTGAAACTCTTATCTCCAATAAACCACCAGAAAGCTGAAGTGGTACTATGGCTCAAATGGTAGAGCACTAGCCTTGAGCTGAAGAGCTGAGGGACAGTACCCAGGCCCAGAGTTCAAGCCCCATGACCAACAACAAAAAAAGTGGCAATAGGCAAAATTTTCCCTATATTTGTTCAAGGGTTGCATCTTTATTTTCTGAATTGGAAAATCTAAAGTTATAAAGTATTTTAAATCAGTGCAAGGAAACCATATATCTTCTATTTAATAAAACAGCGAGACATCTCCACTGTGGTAAGAGTTTTCTTCACAAGAACAAGCTGAATTCCACAAAATTTCTCTCTGTATTACTAAACTATATTCCTATATTTTTAGCAACTACTGGCTGAAATGCTAGAAACCTGTTAATCATACAAAATATTAAAATATATGAACTAGATATAAAGAAAATCAATACTTTTACCTCTTCCCCGCTTTCACTTTTGACAACTTGCTGAGCTTTCATGACCTTGGTTGATGCTATTGCTGATGCCAAAGCCTGGGCCAGGATGAAAAACAACAATTTTTAATATTGACTTGTTTTCTAGAAACTCAAAAGCATATTCAGCCAATGAAAATACTAACCTCTGCTTTCAAATCTGAACGGATTCGCACCACACATCTTTGAACAGCCATTTGAAAAGTAAAGCTGATGACACCTTTAATTTTTAACAAAGCCTCTTCACAAAGATTTCGCCGAGACTGAAAAAGTAAAAGCAAAGAATAGGCAAAATAGTCAGTCAATAAACCAAACTAGTTATTATAACTATGTGTCATTTAAGGATATGTTTTGAGAATGCATTTTCTGTTAACTTCGTTTTCCTAAGAACATTATTAGGCATACTGACACAAATCTTGATAGTAGAGCCTATTACATACACACTCATATAACATAAGCTACAAACCCATAACAGCATGTTACTATACTCATTATTGCAAGCAACTGAAACACAATGATAAATACTGGTGTATTTAAATCTATCACAGAAGAGGTACAGTGCAAATACTCTACAATACAAAAATTTTAACTCCACTATAATCTTATGGGACCAACCTTTCAGGACCACAAATGCCATCCATTGTGAACTTAAATATGGAACACTTTTACATGTACATAACTATATCTTTTTTAAAAAGCAAATGTGCCTATTTCCATTTTTTCCATATTGGTGTACAGTTTCATGTGGAAGGCTACCCCTCACACTTAATTGAATTTTAAACCAGGAACCAAAGCATTTAAATGCTACAAGTAGAAAAGATAACTTAGTGTAACATACCTGGTACAGCTAAACAGGTGAATGGCAACACACCAGTTCAAACTGTTACCACTAAATATGTAAAGTTATATAACTTATCTCAAGACAAACTTCTGGGGGATTTTTGCTTCTAGTCAAGATAGGGTAATAGACCAGATTTACCCTGCAGGATCAACAACTGAAAACAGACAAAACCATGGCTGGGTGTCTGTGGCTCACCCTTGTAATCCTAGCTACTCGGGAGGGGAGGATTGTGATTCAAAGCCAGCCCCAGCAGGAAGTCCTTCAGACTCCTATCTCCAATTAGGAAATGGTACTATGGCTCAAGGTGGCAGAGCACTAGCCTTGAGGACAAAAGCACTAGGGACAGCACTAGGCCCTGAGTTCAAGTCCCAGAACCAGTATCAAAAAAAAGACAAAGCATAATTTAAAACACAATGAAGTCTAAGTATTAGAAAACAAGTATCCCTGAAAAAAGGAAAAAGAAATAAAGTGATCTTTGTAGCATAGCAATTTATTGCCCAGAAACTTTCCAGGCCAGCTGGGCTCAGGTACCTCAGTCCTATAATACTTGATACTTGAAAGGCTGAGATTGGGAGTATCTTAGTTTAAGGCAAAAAAGTACATGAGACTTCATCTCAACCAAGAAAAGCACACACAGTGGTGTGTGCCTGTCAGCACAACTGTGCAGTACATGCAAACAAACTGTGGTTCAGATCAGACCAGGCAAAAAGTTAACCTTTATTGGAAAAATAAAGGGTCAGGGGCATGGTTTAAGTGGTAGAACACTTGCCTAAATGAACAAAAGGCCCTGAGTTCAAAATCCAGTATGGATAAAAGAGAAGAGGGAAAACAGAAAAAGAAAGAATAGCAATGTTTTCATGCTGCAACTGAGGAAGAGGAACTGTGACAACTAATTCTATCAGCTTGATTACAAGGAAAAAGCCCCTATGAGATTAGTAAATTGCACTTTATGGTCTATCTGTGAGAATACAAGAGAATATACAAAGAAGATTAACTTCTTTGGGAAAAAAAGAGGAAAAAGCCCATCCACAGCCTGGCATCTAAAGTAGCAAAGGAAAAAGCCCATCAGTACAACCATTCTTTCTCTATACTTCTTGGACACAATGAGGTTACCAGCCTCCTTCGCCATGCACTCTGGCTGTCATTACGTTCTGCCTAACTTCATGTCCAAATGAAGGTGCTAAGGGACCATGGACAGAAACTGTGAGCCAAAGTAAATAACTCCCTTAATCTGTTTCTGTCAAGTATTTTGTCATAGCATTGAGAGTCTGAGTAACATGAAAACCAAGCAGAACCCAGCAGTCTCTTTAAATTGGGAACAGAGCTAAGAGTTCAGAGGCCATGGCAGATTCAGTTTGCAGGAGAGAGTAAATGGGATGAAAGCTACACAAAGGTGAAGGCCATACAGAGAGAGATCTGGACACAGTGTCTATCAATTTTTCAGCTCATTGATGTTCAATGTATGTATATTAGAAAGTAACCTGAGATATGCACATGCAGAAAACTGCATCCCTATTTCTCTTATATACTCATATCAATTCAAAGATCAAAGACCTCGGGGTCTTTGATTCGGGGGAGGTGGGGAGGTTGATCATAGAGCTTGAATTCAGGGCCTGGGTGCTGCCCCCGAACTCTTTTTTGCTCAAGGCTAGCACTCTACCACTTGAGCCACAGCTTCACTTCCAGCTTTTTGGTGGTTAATTGGAGATAAAAGTCTCACAAACTTTCCTGCCCCAGCTGGCTTTAAACCACAATCCTCAGATCTTAGCCTCCAGGGTAGCTAAGATCACCAGGCATGAGCCACCAGTGCCCAGCTCAAGGACCTGAATGTAAAACCTGAAACCTTGAAGAAGCTCTGAAGCAGAATTCTGAGGAGAAACAAAACAAAGGCAGAAGACAGTGGAACAATATATGAAAGCACTAAAAGTGTGAGGTTTGTTTTATTTTGCATTTGCTAGTCATGGTGGTTGGACCCAGTGGAAATCCCAAATCAATGACCTAACTTTCTAAGAAAAAGAAGCAAATTAAACTTAAAAAAACCTAACTTTACATTCTAAGAAGGAAGCAAATAAAGCAAACTAAACTCAAAGTGAGGAAGAGGTAGGAACTGGGAGAAGCAGATAGAACATGAAAAACAGAAAAAGAAACAGTGATATCAAAAGTTTATCTCTCAAGTGGAGGTGATGACTTAAGAGGGAGAGCACAGCTTTGTGCAAAAAAAAACAAGTCATATTCGAAGACCTTGAGTTCAAACCCTAGTACCAAAGCAAAAAGAAAAGAGAGAGCAAGAGGGAGACAGGGAGACAGGGAGGGAGAGGGGGAGGGTGGGGGAAAGATGGGGAAAGGGGGAGGGGGGAGAGAGAAAGAAAAGAGAGAGAGCAACTCAAGAAAAGATCAAGGCTATACAGTGGAGGCCCTATTTCAAAACAAATTAAAAAAATAAAGTATTTAAGTTTATCATTGAAAAGATAAGCTTTTTCTTTGGAGATACAAAGCTAGCCAGGGGAAGGAACGTCCAGGAGACTCCAGTTAACTACTAAAAAGTTGGAAGTGGAGCTGTGGCTCAAGTGATGGACTTGAGCAAGGAACAGTACCCAGACTCTGAGTCTGAGCCCCAGTACTGGTATATACACATACACAAAAATGGCCAATGGTTATAGGAACATGTCTCGGGTGATAAAGGGCCTGCTTAGTAAGCTGAAGGCCCTGAGATCAAATTGCACTGACTGAAAAAAAAGATGCATTGGAGCTGGGAGTATAATTCAAACTCAGGGTTTGTCTGCATGTGCAAGGTCCTGGGTTCAATCCCTCAGCACTGCAAAAATAAATAAAATGGCAACTAAGTTCTATCTCAAATTTAAAAAGGAATCTATCTCTATTACCAACAGAGATACAAGTGTATATACTATAATAGGTTAAAAGAAGTCCTTCAGGTAGAAGGAGCATACAATGAAAATCCAGGTCAACGTAAAAGGACATAATGAAGTGGTAAATATGTGGGTAGATAAAAAATACTTTTATGTTTTAAAAGGAGATAGAATGCTTAAAGCAAAAATAATAAACAATGTTGGGAGGTCTATAACATGTACAATAACAGCAGAAAGAGAATTTAAGTACTTCATACTACATGAAATATTAGTTGAAGCTAGACTTTATTAAATCAAAGATCTAGAAAATAAACACTAAACAAAAGCCTAAATGAAAGAATGAGGACTGCAGCTAATAAATCAACAAAGAAGATAAAATGGAATAATAGCCATGCACTGGTGACTCATACCTATAATCCAAGCTACTCAGAAGGCTGAGATCTAAGGAATGAAGTTCAAAGCCAGCCCAGGAAGAAAAGTCCCTGAGACTCCTATGTCTAACCACCAAAAAATTGGAAGTGGAGCTGTACTCAAGTGGTAGAACACTAGCCTGGAGAACAAAAACTCAAGAGCAGCACACAGGAACTTAATTTCAAGCCAGGACTGGGACCAAAAAAATAGAAAAAAAGGTGGGAAGGAAAGGGACAGTAGGGGAAAAATAAAGGAGGGTGTAACAGTACTCAATAGGAAATGGACTCATTATCTTGCTCATGTAATTATAACCCCTCTTACAGCATCTTTACAATAAAAAATATATACTAAGAACAACAACAACAAAAAGAGGAATAATATAAAAACATCCAATTAGTCTAAGGAAAAGAAAAAAAAACAGGACAGGACAAATAGAAAGCAATTAAGATTTTTTGTTTTGTTTTTAATATGAAGCCATTGCTATTTTTATTTTTCCTCACACTGAACTATTTCCACTATGAAGAGCACTCTCCTGAGTAAATATGGCCCATCTGTGGCCAGACGCACAGGACTCAGGTAGGGTTCTAGTAGCAGTAATGCCAGACAGGAAGGTGGAGCCTGTAGCCCACACTCTTGTGTGCCTGCAGAGCCACTCCTGACGTGCATGGGGCCTGCAGCGCAGGGTGAGCACCATCTTGTAGGAAACAACAAGCTATGTCTTCAGTGGAAGACCACACCCAGGGGTTTACCACAAGCACGAAAAGATAATTTCCCAACATCAGGCCTTGCAGTGGGGCCTCTGGAGGATCTGTGACCATTTCCAGTTCCTTTGCCCCAAGAAGTCCTCGCTCAGTAGTGCTGCAGGTTAGGGAATTGCTTTCCTAATTCCTAAAAGGTCTGCAGTTCCAGCGGAGAGGCCAGTCCTCCAATTGTACAAGTGGAGAATTTCAGATTGGACAACAAAGCAAGTCCCAAACATGTGAGGCCTGGAGGAAATCCACTTGAAATAGAAACACAAAGTGAAGAAAGACAGACACTAATCAAAAGGAAACTGAAATTACTAATATGAAAAGCAGATAAAGTAGAATGAGCACAGAAAAAATTACAAGTTATGGAGAACAACTGCTAAAGTTATATAATATTCTGAAAGATTTTATGTAAGTGTTCTTAAATGTTTGTAGAATTCACCAGTGAAGAGCTGGGAATGGTGGTGTACACTTAATCCCAATACTCAGGTGGAGGAGGCAGAATGACTGAGATCAAGGCCAGCATGGGCTGACCAATAAAAACTTGCCTCAAAAATTAAAAAACAAAGCTAATTCAACAATGAAATAATGTGGGCCTAAACTTTTCTTTGTGTGACAGAAGGTTTTCAAACAATAAATTTAGTTTTTGTAAAAAAAAAAAAAAACACAGCTAGTCAAGTTTTTCTAAGTAAGGTTTGTTAATAAGGGCCTTTCTATTTTCATTATCAAAATTATTGGCTTAAAGTTATTTAAAATATTTACATATGATTCTTTCAGCATCTATAGGGTTTACCCTGGTGTCTTCTCTCATATTTGACATTATTAGTGTGTATCTTCTATTTTCTCATCAGTTCAGCCAGAGCTGTATCAATTTTATTTAATCATGTATAAGACCAGCTTTCAATTTCCTTGACTTTTCTCTATACACATTTCACTGATTTGGGTTTTTTTGTTGTTGTTTCTTTTCTTCTTTTGGCTTTAATGTGCTTTTCTTTTGCAAGTGTAAAGTAGAAGCTTAAGTTACTGACTTTATACCGTTTTTCCTTCTTTATATAAATATTTGAGCATTTGGTATTAGTGAAATACTGTTTCAACTACTTACTACAAATTTTGATATATATTCATTTCTAATTATCTTGATTTATTCAGTGAACCATGGAATTTTAGACATGTTAATCTCCCAAATTTTGTAGAGATTTTTTCAGATACTTTTGTTATTATTTTGAATTTATATAATCTCTATCCTTTTAATCCTTTTACATTAGTGTATACATACCATATATACTATAATGGGTGTATTTCATACATGTACATAAGGTACTTATGATCATATTTATACTAAATTACTCACACTTATCCCTTTGAAACTTTTTCTTTAGGCAGTACTTGGTTTCTTTTTTGTTGCTGTTGTTGAGATTTGTGTGTGCTGATTCTGAACCCAGGGCCTATACACTGTCCCTGAGCTTTTTTGCTCTAAGGCTAGTGCTCTGCCACTTAAGCCACAGTTCCACTTCTTTATTTTTGTAAGTTTATTGAGGATAAGAATCTCACGAACTTTGCTGCCCAGGCTAACTTCAAGCCAAAATCCTTAGATCTCAGCCTGCAGAGTAACTAAGATTATAGACATGAGCCACCAGCACCCGGCTAGTATTGGGGTTTGAACTGAGAGCCTGTGCCTGCTCCCATATTCCTGCCCTTTTATCTTTTTAAAGATTCTATATATGAGAACACAGTTTGTATTTCTGAATCTGGCTTACTTTACTAAACATAATGATTTCTAGTTCCTTTTAAATCCATATATTAAGATTTATTTTATAGCTCATAACAAGGTTTAAACCAGGAAACATTCACTGAGCATGTAAATGGAAGACTATTATTCTGTTTTGGGGTAGGATATTCCATAAATATCAAATAAGGTTAAGTTGACCCTTTTACCGTTTGACCCTTTACCCGTTTACTGATATTTTATAAACTTCTATTAAGAAAGTGGTGTTGAAACTTCTAGCTCTAAAGTAAATTTGTCTGTTTCTCTTTGCATTAGTTCATATAATTGGCTTCAAATATTCTGGAGCTCAATTATGAGTTACAAACATTTAAAACTGTATATCATCTAATTAAATGAACCCTTGAGCACAAAGTGACCTTGGTTATCAGTATAAAATACTGACAGGCTGGGAATGTGGCTTAGTGATAGCAGAGCTTACCTAGCACATATGAAACCCTGGATTCAATTCCTCAGTACCACATAAACAGAAAAAGCCAGAAGTGACATTGTGGCTCAAGTGGTAGAATGCTAGCCTTAAGCAAAAGCAGTTCAGAGACAGTACCCAGACCCTGAGTTCAAGCCCCAGGCCTGGAAAAAATAAATAATAAAATAAAATACTGGTACTGGGACTTTTTCTTAAGACTGTTAGAAAGGGACACTGGAAGAAAAAAAAAGCTAGGCTTTCTCTTGCTATTTCACGAACCACACGTCTGTAAGTCTTACCGTATCATCAAGACCATCTATATGCAAAACCACTGTTTTGGCACGTTTGTTTGTAGTTCCCAGAAAAAACTGAGCTTTCCTTCGACGAGAATTCATTTCATTAAAACTATCACCATCTGCCATGTTGGAGGACTGAAGAATGTCATAGATTTCAGAGGCCAGGAGTTTTGTTTCTCCTGGAGTTGTAGTCCTTGAAAAGAGACATAAAATTATAAATTAGTCACTTCTATTAATTCTGTCATTTTATTTATCAATTTTGAGGAGCATTGTTTCCTTTATCCTATGCCTTTTTCAAAATTATCAATAAATTTTAGAATAATGATTGTTAAAAAAGCATCTAGTCTATACCAGTCTTCTAATTTCTCTTTAAACATGTTCCATTGAGATTCAAAATCTATTACTATAGTGATACAAAAGCACATTTAATCAAAATCACAACAGGGAATCAACTGACAAGATCAGCTTATAGCATGTCACTGGATTATTACTAATAGTTAACTCTCCATCTGAAGGTTGTCTGACTCCCAAAAACACATTAGCTAAAAATTCAAAAGAAAAATCAATTGATTAAAATTTTGAATATGCTAACTATATTTATTATATTCAAATTAATTTTATTTCTTAATTTATATTTTGCCTCTCATAAAAGCATACATGATAATAAATCATAAACAAAACGTTTGCATTCTTAAACTTTAAGTCCTACTACGCAGCTTGTTATATCAACATCTACTGCTGATTCCAACAGATCCTTCTCAGTGACTGACAAAGTGTACCGCTGCACTCTTGTCTCACTATTCAGCACTTAATATGTGGCTAGTACAGCTAAAAAAATCAACTTTATTTAATTTTAACAGCCACAAGCGGTGAGTAGCTATTATACTAAATAGCACAGATCTACTGATTCTTATTAATCAGTTTCATTAACTAAACAGTAAATAAATATACACAGTTGCAAGAAAATCTTCATTTCCCTTATATATGATTAAGTACAAACCTTCTAACAAGGCCTTAAAAAACCATCCCACTGATCTGACTACATCTGCTTTGTTTGTCCTTTATACTATAATTCTCCAGGTTAATTGACAATGACACTTGGCTATCTCCTAGAAAGATATTGAATTTTTTATATTTTTTTCTTTGTTCTATTTTCTGGAATATTTCTCAAACTTAAACTTTTGTTCACACCTTTCCTCAGCCAGAATCGCTTCTTACTTCTACTTCTGAAGTCTTTCCTTGACCACCCTATTTTCTACAAACCTGCCCCTCATTTCTCTCTTCCCCTCTATTATGTCTTTATTATGTGTATAAATGCCTTAAGAATATTTTCTTTGTAACTTTAATAGACTCTAACAAAAATTTTTACAAACTGTTCATTTACTGAATGAATGATACTGAATGAATTAAAGCTCTATATAACTAGAACATGTCCAGTGAAGACACACAAGATATTATACAAGATGGTGTTCTGAGCTGTTGTTAATCACACAGGTAAATTACTCTAGGTGATTTTAGCCCTAGGTTGTAGGAAGCTATCAGAAAAATGATTTTTTTAATGTTTTCATATCTCTTTATAATAGCTGTTTCACAGTATATTGAAAAAGTCACCATGGTGCTCAGACACTTTAATTATTAGCCCAGACATAAAGGGTATGAGAATGAAGGTTAGGGTACTCATGAATAAGGAACAACAGAGCCTAGCTACAAAGGAGGCTAGTAACTAGCCTGGGCAGAAAAGTTCATGAATCTCATCTCCAATTAAGCACCAAAAAAGTCAGAAGTAAAGCTGTGGCTCAAGCGATAGTGCTAACCTTGAGCAAAAAAAAAAAAAAAAAAAAAAAAAATGCTCAGGAACAGCACCGAGGTCCTGAGTTCAAGCCACCAGGACTGGCACCAAAAAAAGAAAAACAGTGTGTTTGTTTCCCTTTTCTAGCATCAATGGTTTTTCCATGTTTTTATCATCCCACCACAAAATAAAAGAGGCAATTAATGATCCTCACCTATTTTTTTCTATAACATGCTATCTCAAAACTTTGTAAATGTTTTCTTTTTGTCATGTTTATTCACTGATGATTAATTGCAGTGCTAGGGATTAAATCCAGGACCTTGTGTACTCTAGGCAAGTATTCCATCATCAAGTCATATCTTTTTATATGTTTTTTGTTAAACTAGTTCATTTATGAATCAGATTTAAATTTTCCTATTAAATGAAAAATCAAAGTAAAACTTTTTTCTAAGTCAGTGAGATTTTTGTTCCCACCCAAATTACCTTTTATCAACTATAGATAGTTTAAATTGTTCTTAAAGTTGATTTGGAGAGAAGAGGATGTAGCTCAGTGGTAGAAATGTTTGCCTACATAAGGCCCTAGATTCAATCCTTAGCACTGTAAGGTCCTAGATTCAATTCTTAGCACTGAAACAAAAGTTGTCTTTTAATTGCAAATTACAGGAGATCTGCAAAGTAGACATACCACTGTTTACCCACTGTTGAAAACAGCCAGTAAAGTAGAAACTGCTAGTAATAGTATTACTTTACAAATTTTAAGCGGTTAAGAAACAAAGAGATCTACATTTGACAATAAAATCTGTTAAAAATTTCATGAAACAGGGACTGGGAAGGTGGCTCAGTTGTAGAGCGCTTGCCTTGCATGCCTGAGACCCTGGGTTTGATTCCTCAGCACCACATAAGCAAAAAAGAAAAAAGCTGGAAGTGGCACTGTGGCTCAAGTGGTAGAGCGCTAGCCTTGAGCTGAAGAGCTGAGGGACAGTGCCCAGGCCCAGAGTACAGACCCCAAGACCGGACTCCAAAAAAAAAAAAAAAATTCATGAAATAAAAACTCAGAAGTTTCAGAAAAGCATTGTCCATTAGAACTTTCTGACAGTGGAAATCTTGGTTCTAGCCACAAGACTACTGAATGTTTAAGAATACAGCTAGTATAACTGAGAGAACCAACTTTTTTTTTTGTACTAAGATTTCAACAATGAAACTGACCTTTAACCTAATTTTAATTCATTTAAAGTGCCACATGTGACTAATAACTACCATACTGGTCCAAATAATTTAACAAAAAAGGGGGGGGGGGGCAGAGGGAAGGTGCTTCTGCTAGCAGTTTCCTTCTCTTTTTCTCATTATTCTCATGCCTCATCTGGCTGAGGGTGCTGCTCACTGCAAGAATACTTGTTCTAGGTTCAATCCCTAGGGCTGCAAAACGAAAAAGAACTATTCACTCAAATTTCCAAAAGTAGTACAGAATTAGAATCATCCTGGATATTCCAGGGAGGAGCTTAATTAAATATGTAAAAATGCAGCTTTGAGGCTTAATTCCATTGATTTCCATAAGAGCAGCAACAGAATGAGGAAAGAAAAACAGCCATTTGCCCATATAACAATTTGCAAAGAGGGCACATGCATTGTTGTGATGCTGCTCATACTATTTTACTAAGAAAGTTAAGAATAGACAGCAAAGGCCTGGAGCCGGTGACTCACACCTGTAATCCTAGCTACTCAGAAGGCTGAGATATAAGGAGCTCAGTTCCAAGCTAGCCTAAGCAGAAAAATAAATGAAACCCTTATCTCCAATTAATCACCCAAAAGATGGAAATGGAGCTGTGGTAGAGTCCTAGCCTTAAGCAAAAAGCTCATGGACGGTACTTAGGCCCTGAGTTCAAGACCTAGGACTAGAACACAAAAAACAAAAGCAAAACAAAAAGAATATACAACAAAACCATAGTCACACTTGTTTGTCTACTGAAGACTAGTAAAACCAGTTACATCAAACAATACTCCATTAGCATACTCAAAAATTCCAGTTTCATGCTTGTATCACTTTCCTAAAGCATAACATACATTTCTAAATGCTTTTAACTCTGAAAGAATCGTTAAAAGAGCCTGGTGCTGGTAGCTCACGCCTGTAATCCTAGCTACCCAGGCGGCTGAGATCTGAGGATGGCAAATCAAAGCGGGGAGGAGGGGGGGACCCCCCCCCGGGCAGGAAAGTCCGTGAGACTCTTATAACTCCAATAAACCACCAGAAAACCGGAAGTGGCGCTGTGGCTCAAGTGGTAGAGCGCTCGCCTTGAGCTGAAGAGCTGAGGGCCGGCGCCCAGGCCCAGGGTTCAAACCCCTCGAGCAACCGCTCTCCCCCTCCCCCCCAAAAAGTCGTTAAAGATGTTTAAATTCCTCTCTTCTTAAAATGGTAAGATTTTAGCTAGGCATTCAGCGGCTCATGCCTGTGAAACCAGCTTGTCAGAAGGCAGAGATCTGAGGATCTGGAGGATCACACAGGGTTTCCAAAAGCCAGCAAAAAAGAGTGCTGGAGCCTCCACAGCGCCGCTGCCTGGCGCTGGAAGATGGTTCCGCGGCCCGGCATTCCAGGCCCGGCCATCCGCCATCCGTAACCGCAGGCGGAGGGCACGAGGGGCGGCAGCCCAGGTCCCCTGGTCCCCGGCCGTCCCGGCTCTCCTCAAGCGGACCCTGGGCACCGGTGGGCCAGCTTTCCTTCAGGACATCCACGCCATGAGAGAGCAGCCGTCTGCCAGCCCGGCCACACCTGCGCTGGGCCCCCATCCTAGGTGTCAGAGCCCTGCCCACCACTCCCCGCTGCAGACACCAGCAAGAAAGCTGAGAGAGACCCCCCTCCAGGCTACACGAGGCTGTCCGGACCTCTAAATCGTGCCTTGCACCAGGCAGAAATTAAACTGCAAGCAGTTGTCAAAAATAAAAAGTGCGCTGGAGATGTGGCTCAAGAAGTACCAGTCATGCAAAAAGGCCAAAGGAAGGTCAAAGGCCTTGAATTCAAGCCCCAGTACTAGTACAAAGGGAAGAACCAAGAATTTTAAGAAGCATTGTTGACAGGATCCTAATAAAGGAGCTGAGTAGCCGCTTTGTTCCTAAATGATGTGCCCAAGAGGAAACCAGAAATCTCAGATTCCAACAATGGGCCAAAAATTGAATGATAACTCAAACATATGTAAAGAGTTGTCTTTCTGGAAGTCCAGTAAATATGTAGAACGAATGTCAAGATTTTCATAAAAATATTCTCAAAGCTCATAGAATTCACAAACATTATAGACCATTATAATGACAAGTTGCCTTGTGAAGGTTAAAATGTGTTTGTGATGTTAAATTTATGTAATCACTTAATCTCAATAAAAATTTAAAAATATTCTGAACAGAAAACCTCAAGATCT